TCAGAAAATTATAATTTGTATGAAAGGACAAACTCTAAACAAATATTTAAGCCCGTATTAATACCGTACTAGCTGGTATGACCCGTACGATACGGGTCGTGCCAAGTCTAATCCACACCCGACAATTTCTTAACTTGTTCCTTAGTCTTTATACTATTTTTTTAGTAAAGTATATATCTTTTAAACAAATTTACTCAAAAAGTAACAGTATAAAAATTATTTAATGAAGTATAATATCTGTTCAATAAAAGTTACTTAAAATTACAAATATGAAGAAAATTATTATAGATATTAAAAAACTATATATCTTTCAACATTTCTTATAAACACATTCTTTCAACAATTTTTTCAGCACTTTTTATGACAATACTAACTAGAAACAGATTAGTTACGTGTTAAGTGTGCCAGTTAAGTGGTGTACTGCAGTACCCTACTTAACTGGCTTGGACAACAATCTTGCTCCCAACAAAGATAAGTCACATTATAGCAAAATACACCACTTGGCTAGCAGAATCAACACTCTTGCCGTAAAATAAGCCAAGCCACAACAATTTGGAAAAATATTTACAAACACATAAACGATATTTACATACTTACAAAATATAAACCCATATAACCTAAACAGATAAACATAAATAACACATAAATATAAATTAATCTATATAAAAATATATAAATCAAGAAAATATATATAATTCAGAAACTTTACAAACACAACCTTATTTTTGTTTAATGACATACCTCGTACAATAAATGTTTAACAACTTGGTAAAACAAACGATCTGGTTTTTTATATAAAAGTAAACAGATTTTTTTTTAACTTCTTTAAAGGTAAGGTATTTAACGTCGTTCTTTCTTTTTCTTTCTAACATGTAACTGTGTGAGATGCAAGATATATATATATACATATATATATATATATATATATATATATATATATATATATATATATATATATATATATATATATATATATATATATATATATATATATATATATATATATATATATATATATACATATATATATATATATATATATATATATATATATATGTATATATATATATATATCGATAAAGTTAGTGTTATATATATATATATAACACTAACTTTATCGAGAGTACTCTTGAAAAGAGCATCGTCTTTTAGAGTCACCATCGTCTTTTAATTAAAAATATTACAAATTATTACTTATTACTAATTATGTTGATGAAGCAAAGTTTTTGATCTTATTACTGATTAAACAGATATTAACAGATTCAAGAGTACCTCATCGCATGGTCAAAAAGACAGGCCAAGCATGCTCATAAAACTCCGTGTAAAAACGCGCACGAATGGTGACCATTCATCGGAAGCGTTGAGTTATTAATATTTATAGATTCTCCTATAAACACGTTCTGAAAAAAGTTACATCATTAAATAAAAATAAATCTATAGGTTATGATTCCATTCATCAGCAGTATTGAAAAATTTGGCCTCAACTATTTCAACACCCCTCTCTTTGTTGTTTATCAAATTGTTTATTTACTCTACTTTGCCAAACGAATGGCTATTAGCTAATGTTTTTCGATTGTTTAAACAAAATTGAACCTGGAAACTACCGACCTGTGTCTTTTACTTTGATTTTGTGCAAGTTAATGGAAAATTTGATTAAAGATAGCCTAATATTTTACTTAAATAGCAACAAACTAATTAATCCAAACCATGGATTTGTTCCTTCAAATACTTCTACAACTAACTAGTTGAAATCTTTTCTTACAAACTTTTCTTACGATTTTCTTACAAACTATCTAAATCTAAGGATAACGGTAGATAATATTTACTTTGATTTTGCCAAAGCATAAGTACCATAAAATACTTTAGAGCTTTAGAAAAGAATTTTCTACGTTAGAAAAGTCTTTTCTACGTCTTATTAAAGACGTACAATCGATTGTCGTCTTTTCGATCTCTTTTTTGAAGACGTCTTTTTAAAAGACGTCTTTTACACGTCTTTATTTAGGTTGATTATAAAAAAACATAACAAGTCATAAAAAAGACGTCTTTTATTCGTCTAAAGATATCTTTTTTCCCACTGGGCACATATATTTGTTCAAATCAACAAGCCTGTTTCTGCTGAAGAAGCAGGGAATAAATCTCTCAGACGTTCATTTTATGAAATTGGAAATCTCTGTGTTAATGACTTTGCTAATACTCAATAATCTGAAGCAGCTTATTGCAGCCCTGACCTTGGTTGCAATAAGTCAAAAACTATTGAATATCAAACACCAAGTGATACGGTTTGCATTTTAAATGAGTCAAATAAAATATTAAATCAAAATAACATAAATTAAATCAGAGTTTCAATTACTTTTTTTTTACTTGTTTGTAGAAAACAATTCAAATTCTGAAAGTTGTAAAATGAAAAACCATGACAGTAGTTTATCAACTAATGATAAAACATTTGATGAGAAGCTGGATAAAAACTCTACTGTTATAATGTTTAAAAATATTGTTCTAAATAAGTCCAATTCGGCAATTCGGCTCTTTTACTGGGTACCCGGTATCGGCGATTTTGTTGCAGTACCCGCCACCGGGTATCTTCAAATTGATTTTTCTTTAAATTTAAACTTTAACCATTAAACTTCTTAATATAAATCTAAGAATGTTATGTAGTCGATAACCACAAAGTTCTATTAACTTAAAACAATCTCACTTAAAATAATTTTTAATACATTTTTGCAAAAAACTTTATACGGATTTAAAAACTGAAACGCTAAATGAAATAATTCGAGAATACGAATAAAAAAAATGAGAAAAAAAGTTTTAGAATAGCTTCTTTTTATTTTGTTAGAACACAAGATAATTTTTGGCAATTAAGTTTTGAATGAAACGCTTATAATGCTTTCGAACGCTGATACCACTTTTCATTTGTATCAAGCAAAAATCATAAAAGTAGAGATATTAGGTAAATATTATACACATTTTTCATATTTTAATTTCAATAATAATTATAACAAAATATTATTTAGGCCCGCTCCACCAGGTAAAAAAAATAATTTTATACTAAATATAGTTATTAAAAAACTGTTGCGCAACTTTTGAAAAAAGTTAGGCTCTACAACTCAGGCCCCTTACCCTGCATTGCAGGGTTTTACTAAATGGTACTTCCGCCACATAACTTTTGGTTAGTTAGCGTAAAAAGCGTATTTTGTGTGAATAGTTCAGCGCTTGAGATTTCACAAGTTTTTATTCCAACTATTTAAAAATGGACTCGGTGCCGAGTACTCGGACTCGGACCAGGTTTTTTCAGCCGGGTACCCGGAATCGGAGACTCGGCATTAACTGGTTCCGGCACATCTCTAAATAAAACCCATTTACCAAGTTTACAATTATCAAGTTTTATTTATCTCGATAGTACATGGTTTTTTTTTAACTTTTAATTTATTACCGGAAATAGCAAATTTAGTTTCGAAAAATTGATTCTTGACCGACTTAAAAAATTATACAAGAAAATTTTTCAAGTTTACTTATAGTAAATTGCACTTCCAAGAGTTTTATGCCCATGTGTTAAAAAGTTAAAAAAATTATTACGTGGCCGAAAAATACACAATTTATAATAAAAGTATAATTATATTTATATTTTACAAAAGCTTTATACTATCTTATTAACAAAACGATTCTACAACATGATCTAAAAATATTTTCTAAAAGTTTATTTAGTTATTTACAGTGAAAGAGTAAATACTGTCATAACTATATATTTTTTTTAGTTATTTAGGTCCTCCTAAAAATCTTAAAGGTCTTATCACAGAACACCTAGTAATAGCATTTAAACAGGAAATTTAAACCTCCTTTCTTACCGATGATGCATATATAGCCAGAGCCGGCTTCAAATTACGGACATCCAGTTTAAAAGCTAGAATTCTAACCACTAAACCACAGCAAATAACAAATTTGTTATATCCTTTATTTTAATCCTGTTTTACTCTGTAAAAAAATTTTAGTATTAAAAAAAAAAGATTAAGAATGGTTCTCTAAATTCTTTAAAAATTGAATTCCTAAGGAAAATTATAATAACTTTTTAAAATAAATTATATAAAAAAAATTAAAAAAGTTTTTTAAAAAGCACAATCAATTTCTTTTGTTTACAAAACACCAGACGTCAATTTTAAATATGTAGGCTGGTGAAAAACATGAGTTGGTAGGTGGTTTTACTTAAAATAGTATCCTTTGGTGTGGCTTAACTATGCAATGGTGTGTCGTAACTATGCACTGGTGTGGCATAACTATGCAATGATGCCTAAAATTAAACTGTTCTACTTACTTTTTTAAACTTTTTTTTAACATAAAATTATAAAAATAACGTGACAACACATACCCTGACTTGACTTGCGTAAATAAACATTGCTATTAAATTGGTTAATGCCAGATGGACATGTACTACTTTCATGTTAGAAGTTTAAGAGACTTAAGCTGAAAGAGTTAAAAAGTTTCCACCTTTTTTTTTGAATAAATTATTTAAAACTCAAGCAATGAAACAACCAAAAACAAAACAAGAAACATACAAACCTACTGATACTTTAACATTAAACCACTGCGGAGTTTAACAATTTCTTTATTTGATCATTTCGTTCCAAAACTAGTCACCTGACTACAATGAAAACATCAGCTGAAAAATTTTTCCGCCGCTATATCAAGTTTGAAAATACAACATACCAATATTTATTGTTGTTTTGAAATTTATTTATAGTATATAGCTAAAATTAGATAATTAATGTACTGATTTCTATTATATATTTCTTTTTTAATGCATACTAAAAAAAAAATAGTTTATTGACAAAAAAAACCAAAAATGATTTTTTTTCCCCTCAATTTTAACTTATACGTTATTTTAGATTTTTTTTAGATGGTTAATAAAATATATATAGTGTTATGTAACAAAATTGAATTATGAGATCCTAAATAATTTATTAGTGGTTTCAAAAGAGTAACTAGAAATATGGTTATAGATACGAATTCTTTAATTAAGCATAAAAAATACAAAAAAAATAAACAACAAGAAGACAAAATTTTATTGAAAATTATAGTTGCTCGAAAAATGATAGAAAAATTACCAGAAAAGTTTCACTTTACGTGGAAAAAGGTTGCTGTTTGGTTGATAATTTTAATGGTATACACATTTATTGGAACATTTATTTTTGTATATCTCGAGGAATGTAGAGTCAATCCAGAGACGAAAACATTGCAAAATAAAAAAAACAAGTTTAAAAATGAAACTATAAACTTAATCAAGTTATGTGCAGAAATAAAGGAAATAGTTAATTTTAAAAACACCACGGAATACCGTGTTTATTTGGTTAATTATCCTTTTTTAAATAACCTTTGCGCTCAAACTGAAGAGCATTATAAATTAAACGAGACACATAAAGAAGAGGAAATATTTTTAAAACATAAGTGCAATATTTTAAATTCAACTTTGATATCAAAGTGGAGCGCGTTTTGTTTGGTTTCGGTATTAACGATTGGATACGGTGATGTTGTTCCAAAAACAACACCTGGGAAAATTCTGACAATAATTTACATTATGATAGGAATCCCTCTAGCACTGTGTTTTATCTCAAATTTGTCAGATAACTTGCTTTCTTTGCATTTTTTAGCTGTAGATTGCATAGAAAAAAAATTGTTTCATAAAACGAAACCGACTTATTTTTATTTAAAAGCGTTTACGTTAAACATCGTGATTTTAGTTGTGTGTGTTGCTTTAATGGTATTTCTTCTATGCATGCACGACAGTTCTTTATCAACCTTCGATTCGTTTTATTTTGTCATAGTAACAATGACGACGGTTGGTTATGGTAAGTTTACTTTAAACTTTATTCGTTAATAGATAATAATTTAATTTGTTGTTGCAAAGATATACATTAAATATGATAATATATATATATATATATATATATATATATATATATATATATATATATATATATATATATATATATATATATATATATATATATATATATATATATATATATACCTATTCCAAGTTTTAACAGAAGTAGGGAGTAAAAGTGAAGGAAAACTTTAGAACAAGATGCTGTTTTTACCTTCTAAAAAACAAATCTAAAATAAATAAAATCAATACAACTTATTAAAAAAAAATGACAACGGAATCATGCTTTCTAAAACTTATCTTTTGTCACTTAGCTCCAAATTGTCTGATTCTTAATGACTATGTCATCTTAATTCTTAATCCAATAAGTTAAAGTGTTTTGAGGAACACTAAACTTTTCGGCTACATTTTTAAATTTGACCTTTTTCCAATCTTTAAAAGATGTTTATCTTTGATTGCTAAAATGACATTTTTGCTCATTTTTTACTATAAGATTTGGGTGGTCGATCACACTTAACGACCCCCTCGGTACGGGCATGGTACTACCTTTATTCGCATGGACGCCATGTTAAAATTTTAATTTCACTAAGTTTAATGTGTTCAATTTTTTTGATAACGTTGTTTTTTTACATATATACATTAGGACGGATCATAAAAATTAAGTTGCTTTGAGAATTTGTGAAAAGTGGCATGATATAGCATTGTTTACTATTAGCAAAGAAAAACTTGAATAAAATTTGATTATACTTTACGTTTTTTTGTTTTTAGGTTTATGCGTATTATTGTGTAATTATGATATTGTATAACTATAAAAAATGTTTACTAGTTTTCGATTTACACATAACTTTGCCTATATTGTGGGACTAATATTTAGTTTATGTGTATTTTGTATGGATTTGTAAATAGTAGTAAGTGTAATAATCTATATCCTTTAGATTATCAAATAACTGAAATTATTTTATTATTTTATTATAAGTCAATCTCAAACTATATATGCAAACTAACGAACAGCAGATATGTCTGCAAAACGCACAGTGTACAATACGTGCAAAATCCAAACTATATACTAAATGTTCACTGGGCCCTGACCATTGTCCATCGTCACGCCATCTAGCTGATGCAACATTGCTAAACACAGATGAATAATCAAACGACCAATTAGCGATTAGATCGACAAAGGAGCAACAAAGGACGGTACGAATATACAGGCGATAGAACACATTCAAGCGACCGTCACGTAGCTATCACGTGAACAACGAACGCTCGCGACAGTCAATTTTAAACATTATTTTCTATGAATGTTTGGTGTTTAAACTTTAAACTATTAGTTTATGCAAACTGCATAACTGCTTTTAGTTTTATATTTAATTGTAATTTTTTGTCTGTTTTTTGCATTTACAGAAACTAATTCAAATTCTAATCTGTTTTAAAAACTATGAAACAATTATAATGTTATCAAGATTTGCAGCTGCAAAAAATTGTCATATACTTTTTGGTGAGTTACCAAACGTTTACTTGCCAACGCACAAACAGGTTGACAAAGCATACTTGTTTGAAAAGAGTTATGAAGCTGAGCCACTACGAACTGTCTGTAAAAGACTGGCTGATAAACTTTTCCAAGTATAAATTAAAGCATCAATCCCTACAATAACTCTTCGAGGGATAGAAATCCAAATGGAAAAGTATATAGGTTAAGTTCAGAAAGTGACGCGAATAAAATCTCCAACACTCAAAAGAGAAGAAATAGAAACTAATCTTAATAAACTGTTTGATGTTTGTTTGTGTAATTGCAAAGAGTTTCCATCTTGCTGCTGCCCTCTTAATATGAAAGTAGCAGCAATTGAGCATAATTTTCTTACAGATCAGCGCACTGCACGTATTGGTCAAATAGCTGGTGTTGACAAAAAGGAATTTGCACTTGCTGAAAAGCGTCTAAAAAGGAAATCAGTGTTAAGATCAACAAATGAAATCAGTAACAAATGTGTCAGAGTAGCTGAAGCATCAGATTCAGATGATGATACAGTTCAAACAACCAGTGATTCTGACACTGAAACTTATTCCGCATGTGCATCAGATGATACATCAGATGAAATACCCAAATACCCAAAACTTCTTGTCTCAAAAAACATTGCCTTTAAAATATTGCATTACAAGTAGATGGGTTTAACATTTCAGATTGTGCAGTTGCTGCATTAGTATCAGCAACTCTTGTTGATTTCGGTTTAGAACATATGGGACTAGTTGATCGCAATAAAATTTGGAGAGAAAGAAAACTTCTGAGATTAGCATATAAAAATACTGATTGCAAAATTTCTGGGTTGTATTTTAATGGAATTAAAAAATCAGACTTTAAAACTTGTTGGAGATTGGCAGACTGTAATTTCTGAAGAACATATTACTCTATTATCAGAACCAGGACCAAGATACATTGACCATTCTTCTCCAGTAAGTGGTACAGCTAATTCCATTGCAGAATCAATTCTTGATACAGTAGACTGTACTAATCTTGTTTGTATTGGTTCAGATTCAACAAACGTTAACACTGGTTTAAATAATGGAGTTATACGCAGAATGGAAATTGAACTTGGTCGTCCACTTCACTGGTCCATTTGTCCCCAGCTAGCACACATACGTTGTTAAAACATTAGAACAATGTCGCGAGTTTCGTTGGCCCAACATTGGCTGCCAACGTTGTTTTTATATCATTATGGTTACAAATGCGACGTCGCCAATAACTAAAAACCAATGTTGATAAAACATTTATTTTAGGTCGGAAAATGGTTATATTTTCTACGTTGATTCAACGTTTAATTTTTTACGTTGGCTTAACGTTATATTTTAAGTTGGGACAACGTTGTATATAGGTAGGTTTTGTGGTTCGTCCTCCGACGTTATTAAATAAATAAGTTTGGTAATTTATTTCGTAAAAGTAATTAACTTTTTGCGATGTATTTACATACATTGGATTAACACTGATTTATATACATTTAATCAACGTCGAAATTAATACATTGAATAAACGTTGGGTTTAAATTGTAAAAACAATCAATTTTTTGCGATGTTTTTACATACATTGGAAAAACGTTGATTTATATACATTGAATCAACGTCAAAATATATACATTGGATCAATATTGGGTTTAGATTGTAAAAGCAATAAACTTTTTGCGATGTTTTTACATACATTAAACCAATGTAAATTTGCCAGATGTTTTTAGTTCCGTCGGTAATAATTTTATCCTTAACCAAATGACATTGGATCAACGTTGGTTTTGCATTGGAAAAAAGAGCCGACGTTCGCGATGGTTTTACATACGTTGGCCCAATGTAAGTGTGCTAGCTGGACTCTTACATCTGAATGAGCTTCCTTTGCGACATCTATTTAGTTCTTTAGATGGTGCAACAACTGGAACACATTCATTTAATGGACCTATTGGCAAATCTATTTCAAAGCTATTGCAGCCACCCATAGTCAACTTTGCTGTTATTGCTGGTGAACCTAATAATTGTGATAAAGATTTATTAAGCAGTGATCAGTTGTACTTTTTTAAAATTGTCAATGCAGTGAAGACAGGTATTGTACCACAGGGATTTGAATCCAGATTTCCTGGACGGCTAAACCATGCAAGGTGGATGACACTTGCAAATCGTGTTTTATATATATCTACTGTAGCTCCATCAAATGAACTTACACTATTGGCTAAATTTATCGTGAATTTTTATGCAGCTGTATGGTTTGATGTAAAAAAAATATTCAAACTGTTGGAATGATAAGAATGATAAGATAAAATGATAGAAACATCACGTTTTCTTCCAGTGCAGTACAGAATTGTGGTTCAGCAAGTTCTGTACCGCAATAGCTATCCAGCTCATATTGAGAGCATTATTTTTTCTATGTTGAAAGGCAACTGTCAAGTAATTCGTAGATTTGCTCTGAAAAAAAATTCTACATGCACGGGAAGATAACATATCAAATCGTAAATTTTAAATCCCTGAAATTTGACTTCAAGCAATAAGCTATGAAGAGCTGATTGATTGGCAAACTATTCCCCGCTTGGGACCCGTTTTGACAAAACACGTTTCTACCGCACAAACATTAGCCTGGCTTCAGTCAGATTAAAACATTGTTGTTGATATAGAACCATATCCTTGCCACAATCAATGTGTTGAACGTTTAATTAAAATTGTCACTGAATTTGCATCTAAGGCTTATAGTCATGATAGCCGATTCGCGTTCTTTCGGAGCGCCAAAAATTAATGCCGCACTTTGATACTAAGTCTGAATTCAAACAGATTTAACTAAAATATTGTAACTCTTGTTAATTGATAATATAAAAATCATGCATTATTAACATAATTTGTTTTTATGATAGTATTAAGTGTTCAATAAATAAATAATGTGCAAAATATTCAATAAATGATATGTTACAAAATGGCATTTTTAAGTAAATTTTCAAAGACAAAAATGCAAAGTATAGCAAAGTAGTAAAGAAAAATGGTTTGCAGCAATAGATTCAGTCTATTTGAGAACCACTAAATGCATAAGCTAAGAGCCACTGATTTACTTTTTATATATATTTTTTTTATTTTTTACTATACTTCTACTATACTATACAAGACTTTTTACTTTACAGGATTATACAGTCCAAGGACTAACAACTTTTTTTTATATTGACATTAATTTGCTCTATAAATTATATCGAATGATGTTTGAAAATAGTTTAATAATTTGTAAATATTCATATAATAAATAGCAAGTAGAAAGTAGTTTAATAATTTGTAGATATTCATATAATAAATAGCAAATACATTTCAAATTTATATTAAATTTTAAGTATATATATATATATATATATATATATATATATATATATATATATATATATATATATTATATTGTTGATGAAACACAGTGTAAAATGAAAAAAATTTTTGTTTAGTGATTTTCTACTAATTTATATATATATATATATATATATATATATATATATATATATATATATATATATATATATATATATATATATATATATATATATATATATACATATATATATATATATATATATATATATATATATATATATATATATATATATATATATATATATATATATATATATATATATATATAAATTAGTAGAAAATCACTTAACAAATATTTTTTTCATTTTACACTGTGTTTCATCAACAATATAACATATATATATATATAACATATATAAATACATATTTAAATATAGTCTATTTGCAAGTGAAAAACGTGCGAATAGACACTCCGATATTTTAATAACCATTAAAAAAATGTAAACTTTGTGTGATGCTGGTTACAGAACAACATTGATACGAATTTGATTAACGAGACTAATTATAACTCAAATTATTCTTAAAAAAAAGGTTTTTAAATGATTGGATTCATAAAGTGTATTATAAAATTATTATAAAGTCAAATTTACTCGTTATTAAATAAAGTTTGATTAGACATTAGGTTTGATTTGACGTTGTTTAGTTTAAGGTTCAGAATCAGAAAATCTCGTGTTTAAAACAATGACTAATAAATTATTACTTAAAATAGTTATCATAATAAACTTTTATTATATTTACTATTAATTTCTACAATACCTACTTTAATAAAACATAATTTATTCTTTGAGCTATTTTAAGTTTTTAGCTACATAAAAATATTGATGAGAATAAAATAATATAGTTGTCGATTATTGATTTGATTTAAAATATTTTATCGACAACTATTTTATTTTATTTTCATCAATATTTTTATGTAGCTAAAACCTAAAATAGCTCTAAGAATAGAAAATGCTCAAAAATATTTAAATTATGTTTTATTAAAGTACGTATTGTAGAAATTAATAGTAAATATAATAAAAGTTCATTATGATAATTATTTTAAGGCGAGTTTCCACTTATCCATTTTTTTACGGGAACGGGAAAGGGACAGGAAAAATAATCACGTGGGGCATGCGTAGTATAAGTTTTAATATGTCCGAAGGAAAACTACGCATGCTCACGTGATTATTTTGCCCTTTCCTACCCCGTTCCTGTGAAAAAACGGATGAGTGGAAACTCACCTCTAAGTAATAATTTATTAGTCATTGTTTTAAAACACGGGATTTTCTGATCAAAAATTTTGAACCTTAAACTAACCAACGTCAAATCAAAACTAATGTCTAATCAAACTTCAACATATACCCAACGGTTGTCCCAACCACAAACTATTTCATTCAAAGTGTTGGGATAATCAGCAACCGATCTGTTGTATTGAGAAATTAGATAAACTCTTTTAACTGTTTCGGACTAACTTCCGCTACCACATCCATATTCGTTAACTTTGATTGTTTGTTGATCCGTCTTATTATCATCCAACAAAACGGTGTCGTCTGATAGCATTTCCTCATCTGGTTGACGTGGATACACAATACCTTGAGTCTCATTTATACAAAATATCAATTCAAGTTGATCTTTGCGTTTGCATTTAATATAGAAGCTCCTATAAAGATCCATTTTTATTATAAATAAAAAATTGTATAAATATAAAAATATTACAATATTTAGTATAAATATTTTAGTATCGTTCAAAATAAATTTAAAGTTCTAGGCAATGGTAAGAAATGGTTCTGTGGCAACGGTAAGAAAAGGAGGCGAGTTAAATGATCTTCTGCGGTGCTCAGTGACAAGACTGTAAGGACTTCTTCGGACAACCATGGAAGTATAAAACAGATGGAAGTTCAACCGCATTGAAATTCATTGGGAGTATGCTTGTAACCTTTTGTTTCGTAAACAATAAGAAAACGACATCAAGTTAGTACTTAAACGCTTAATCTTTATACGTTGACGCAAATAAATACGTTTATAATAATTTAAAAATATAGTATTTTGAAGGTTCGCCAATAATATTCAAGAAAAACGTTAAAAATGGTGCAACGTAACGGCAAGCAACAACTTTTTCATAAACTTTATATTAAATGAATGAAAAACTACAAGAATGAATGGAGTTATCATATACAGCTAATAAAACTTTAAACTTTAGTTACTTAGAAAACAATTTTTTTGATTTTTTAAAAATTGTTTTAGTTGTCTTTTTTATCAAATGTCGTGTTATGACTTGAAGCAAGAAAAAAGCTTAAACTAACATATGCTTTTAAAATCAAGTGGTTCTATTTAATTACCGAGTTTTAATAAACCTTTTGTTGAATAATTGCAATTACTAATGGTTAAAAATTTGCAACATATCTCTAGAATAATTCATTTTTTAATGTTTTAATAAAGATCATTTCAGTGAATTTTTTTGTTTTTTTATCCAGTGAAACTTGTTTTTTTTTTAATTGTCGTTTATAAGCATACTCCCGAGACGACTTGAAATTGCTTTGATGTTTGCGGCTCGATGAACTTCCATCTGTTTTATACTTTTTTTTTTTTATTTTTTTTTTTTAATTCACCTCCTCAAGGCCGAGACGGCCACTACAGACGAGGAGGCTACTTATTTTGTGGCTATATTCCTCTCTCAACTCTATAACTCCGAAACACGAACCTTGACGAACAAGGCCGCTGCGCAGAGAAACGAGTTGAGCGCGGTACTACCAGGGACGTGGTGGGGATCGAACTCGGAACCACTCGTTTATGAAGCGAGCGCTCTACCACTACACCACTACTTTCATGGGACAACTAAAACATACAAACAAACAAACAAAAAAATTTATAAAAAATGTAAACTTTAGCATATTTAAGCATTTTAAGCATTAAATTACATTATTTTTAAGTTTGCGATAAATAAAATCATTTATATTCATTTAAGAAAAAATAAAAGTAAATAAAAAATGAAAAACGTAAAGACAAAAACGTTAACTACTTAGATGAAATTTTTGCTTTTATTGATTAACTTGGTATTTTTGCTTTTATTGATTAACTTGGTATTTTTGCTTTTATTGATTAACTTGGTATTTTTGCTTTTATTGATTAACTTGGTATTTTTTAGCATAAAAAAAAAGTGAAGTCTTTTTTTGTTTTCTTTTTTTGTTTTTAACTTGACCTTATTCTTATGTACTGAATACCATATATAACTTTAGATTAAAAAAAAAGTTATAGTTGGGCTCAAGAATATGTCAGTTTCACAAAAGCGAATTGGTAAGTTAACAATAGATAAGATGACCATACATTACAAATTCAAAAGTATTTGTCATTATTTTGTCAATGGTCTTTGTTCAATTTACCTTTTACATTTCTTGGGGTACCACCAATAAGCTATAAAAACTGGCTATTTAACGAGTATGATAATAACCAAAATGATATACCGTACTTTTAAAATAGTATATAGAAACTTTTATACGGAACAGCAAACCCAAGACTGGCTTGTTTGGTTGTTTTGGAACAATTTAAGCTCCAAGCTTAACACTGCTTTGAAATCTGCATTAACTACAGCTAAAAGCTGACATACCAGTGACGATAAAACGCAACCTTGACTTCTGGGTATTTTGGCAAAGCATGAGCGACTCAAAAATAATAATTTTCTATATCTGTTAGAGTTGATTTCATCTGACATCCTAATCTAAAAGAACATGTTCTAAAAAAAGGCTGAGTCACCAAAGGATTGCAAGTACATAATCTCTCAAATAAATTCTAAAATGATTGTAGAGTGCAAAATTATGAAGTGACAAACATGTCATGCAAATACAAGGGAGAAAAAGCTATAAATAACAGTGTTATACTGCCGTGTTTTCTTCTTGTGGTTGCCACTCACTTGTTTTATGTGGTAATAATGCTGTTGAATGCATTTCAAAAGCTAGAACTTAATTCAGAACTATCCACACAATAATTAACTGCTTCACGACAATTCCGCGCTTTAAAGTCATACCACTGATTTACATCAATAACATGTCTTTAAAGCGCAGAATTGTCTGGTTCGGAAGAGAAGCGTAATATTCCGTTTTGTATTTACATCTTCCAATCCAAATTCCTAAGAAATTTTAGGGAAGGTTCAGCAAGAGATACTGGTGCATCTCTTGCTGATTCTGTCACTACTAATACTAATTCTTCTTCTGTTGGCTCTGCATCTATTCGGCAATCTTAGAATTTTTAGAAAAGGTCTATAATCTATAATGTTTAATAAAGGTCTCATACTATGATATATTTTATTTTTTTATTTTTATATATTTTTTATATATTGATATATATTTTACATGAAATTACAAGAAATTACATTACATAATAGGAATTTGTACTACCAATCTGTTGAGTAACTTAACTTATATAGAAATGCTCTAAATACAATTCAATTATTTAATTAATTTGTTATTGTATTTATAATATTTGCATCCCATGTACAACGAACCGATGCGTTATGCCGTAGATGCACAGATATCCTATATAAACGTTTGAATTTACGAATGTTTAAAGTTTATAACCTATTTTACTTGAAACAATTTATAATGTGGGCAATACAGTTACAAATACAGCATATTTGACCCATGAAAGTAAAATTATGAAATCCTTAAAAACATGCTATATTGCTCTCTACATGAGTAATGATATTACAACAGAATTGTGAAAAATTTTATTGTAAGTGTGTGTGTGTTTATATATATGTGTGTGTATTTTTTTTGTGTGTGTGTTTGTGTGTGTATGTGTGTATATTTTGTTATACAAATATAAACATTTAATATTTCATTTTAATTACATTTGTTTTGTTTTTAGGTGATTTCAGCTATAACTCAAATTACTTAGAAAGCGTATCTATGTTTTGTATCTCCATGGTTGAAATAGCAGTCTTTTTGATCTTGTTGTCAATGTTTGGAAGTATATTTAATCTTCTCTCTAACATGGCTGAAAAAAAAAAGTTTATATGCAGTAAGAATTTAAAGGAAAACCAAACTATGGAATACAATTGTCCATTTTTACTAAAAATTACTGAATGATAGCAAATTAACCTTAATGTAATTTCCTGCTTTTGACAACTTGAAAATAAAATTACCGTAAAAGTTTATATATTAAAAAAAATGTTTTAAAAATTTTATGTTTTTTTTTTAAAATACGTAAATAGAGTAAAACTCCTGCTCGACGCACATTGATGAAAAGTTTATTTGGTGCAAGAAAAAAATATTTGATTTATTTTTAGTTAAATATATAATTTAAATTTGGCGACCAAATCAATAACCGATGAATAGTTGGAAGTTAAAGTATAATTTAAATGATTTTTTTCATGTTGATAAATTTTTTAAAAAAGTCTTACTTTATTAGAGTACTAAACAAAAGCCTCCAGTTTTGTTTAAACATTTTATTTAAAAGAAATGCATTTGCTCTGATGTTGTTGTTGTCATTGAAATTGTTGTCTGAAAAGTTTGAATAAGCTTTTAAATTTTTGTTTTAAACGTGAATCGTAAGATGTATTTAATTTACACCACATCTTGCTATTTTAGTTTAATATTTACGACAACTTACTGTTTCAATAGTAAGTTGTCGTGAATATTAAACGTAAATAGTAAGATATGGTGAAAGTTAAGAATCATTAGTTAGATGTGGTATATATTAAACTTTGATTGTAAGATCAAAATGGTATAATAGACTAGTTAGCGAGAAAACGAAGCTGAATCTCGTTTAAAATTGTGGTAAAGCCTTAGTAGTATGATTTTTCTAGCAACAAGACAAGTTGGCGCCTTGATAAAAATGCGTTGAAAAAGAAAAAATTTTAAATGGGAGGATACATTATTCACGGCTGATTAAAACAATGATTTAACTTCGTTTTTAAACTAAAACTAAGATATACAACTTTCCCCAAACCCCGTGAATCAATTACCCCTCCGCCAAAAGATTATCATATCTCTCCAGAATTTTGTTTTGTGTTTTATTTTGTGTTGTATTTTTGCCGGATTTAAAAACAAATATACTACAAAAAAGTAACTATAAACTATCTATAAATCAGTAAACAGTATTTTCCATTTTTTCAAAAGTTTTTTTTTATTTGATTGCTTTTTTTGATAAAACATTTTAAATTATTGTGCTTAATTATTGAAAATTTAATTTTAGATATACCAAAATGCATTAAAAGTACCAAAGGCATCAGTATATTGCGAAAAACAAAATTTGCGTATTTTCTAAAGCAATACAGGGACAAAAGATTTATCTTTATTTCTTGCGAATTTGTTTTATCTATAAAAAGTATATATTTTTCAGACAGTATTTTTTATCCTATTTTTAAATCCGATTTAAAAAAAAAAATTTGGAATTAAACTTTTTGAGTAGTATTAATTTCGGTAAAATGACTTTTGTGGGGCTTATCGGGACAACAAAAGTATTTATATAATTGATACTCAATTAAATAAATACTTTTGTTGTCCCGTTACTACCATTTTGCTGTTTGCAGTTTGATGATTTTATTTTCAATTTAAAATATTGTTTTTTTATTTTACTTAATTAGAAATAAATTCAAAAAAATTCTTATTTTTATAACTTAACTTCGATTAATAATAGTGTTTAATGTAGACAAAGAAGGTAAGAAATTTTTTGTGTTTTTTCTTTTTTGTGGTGTATGGGCGTGTAGTTTCTATGGGTATGTTACTTTTTGAGAGTTTAATGGCTGAACATATTTAGGCAATAGATAGCCTTCATTTATTACCATTTTTAAAGCTTTACAATTGATCTCCTAGCCGACTAGGTCGGCTAGGAGGCATTAAATGCCTCCTGGCCGACTTTATTCCTGAAAAAATCTACTAGGGCTGAGCGGGGCATATAAGGACACTTAAAAAACAAATGCTAGTTGCGGATAAACTAATCATAGTTAACACTTTTTTATAAATTTTCTTTTTGTTTTTTTATTTTCTGATATTAGAAAATTAAAAAACGAAAAAAAATTTCTAAAAATAAGTTATGACAACCGACCCACCGAACATTTAATCAACATTTAGTTAATGTTCGTTCTAAATGTTTAGATTTAATTTAGTTTCGATCTAGAACGTAGGTCAATCGAAAGTTCCATTTAAACCATATCTAAATGGTTTGTTTTAAACGCTATTCAAACTCCATCTAAACCTATCGTTTTAAACTTCGCGACGTTTAACTTTATTTACGGCGCTTATTTAAAGAAGCATAAATAAAAGAAATACTGATAAACGAATCAAACTTTTCTTTTATTTAAGCGGCTTTAAATAAGTACCGTAAAGAAAAGTTAAACGCTGAACGCATTATCTAAATACTCATAAATAAATTAAACGTTAAACAGATAGCTTTTTATTTATTTAAGTCTAAAATACAAGTAAAATCATTTTATTTATTATTATATGTATTATCGTGTTCGTCATCATGATCGGCTCCATAATGATCATCGTCATTTTTGCTTGAACCGATTAAGCCTCTTTGTCTTAAGAATTAGAAAAAAGGACATAACCTTTCCTATTTCCACCTATACAGAAAATAGCCATTCTAAGATGGGAATCAATGCACGATACCGTTTTGCGGATACTGAAGTCATACAATCTCTTTTCTAAAAATAATAAAAATAACTCAATAAACATCTTCATTCTATTCATATAAATCATTCATTCAACAACTTTATAAATCCATAGTTTTATAGATTTTAGAAGATTGTACATTAGTACAGTGTACATTAAATAATTATAGTAACAAGTGATAGAGAACTTTTCTTTAAAACTATGTAAAATATTTAACATTTATATAATAAAAACCTTATTAAAAAAACTTGTAGTTATCGCAGTTATGGGTTGATAACTGATAAGTTGCATAACTGCTTTACAACTGCAGTGCCCTTCCTAAACATAGTAATACAAAACTATATAGTATTCTATTACTTTATAACAATATCTGTACATCACACACACACACAAAGATATATATATATATATATATATATATATATATATATATATATATATATATATATATATATATATAAAGTTTGATAACTCCCATTATCCATTGTCTTGAGGAGCAGTAGGCATGTATCCTGTTTGATTGAAACTTTCTATTCATTAAAAAGTTGTGGAGATACTTCTTAAAGTTCTTAAAGTTAAAACTAATCAATAAACATAATAATTAAAATTTATATATCAAAATCATATATGTACTAACACGCAACTCAAACTAAAAATTAAGTATTACTTGATCAATCCATTAGTTTGTGCTTTGATATAGTAGTTATGTGAATAATGGTATTTTAGAACTCAATTTTCGCGAACAGAAAAGGAGACTTTGCAAGTACTGATGGGTTAGCTATATATATATATAAAATTGCAGTATATATATATATATATATATAATATATATATATATATATATATATATATATATATATATATATATATATATATATATATATATATATGTATATATATATATACATATACATATACATATATATATATATATATATATATATATATATATATATATATATATATATATATATATATATATATATATAATATTATTTGCTTTAACAAGCAATTTATTCAATTTTTAGTGCAATTTTTCCATAATTAACCATTTCTACTGTAATTGCATTAAACTAGTAATATTAACTCCAAAGAAATTGAAATAAAAACTAATTTAGATTAGAGTAACACACAATTATGGATTAATTATATGTTATTATTTTCAGTTCATATATTATTAGTTTCTATATAAACAATAAATTAAAATGAAACCTTTAAAAGATTTGTATAATCAGTACTTTTGCTTTTTTTATCATCTGCTGATTATCAATGCCTTCTTCAGTTTCTGATATTTAAAAGTTTTGCAATCCTCATAACAATCTGTAAAAGGAATAACAAAACATCTTATCCAAAGCAATGACAAATAAATTTAAAAAGTAAATTATTTAACATTTTTTGAATAAAAATTATTATATCACAAACTAAAATAACAATTCAATATAATATCAAGCTTTTGGTTCTTCCAATCAAACAGCTTGACGATATGACATTTTGCTAAAATATTAACACTAATTTGGTTGAAGGTACATCAACACATAACATTAACTTGTAACTAAACTTGTTAAAAGTGTTTTAAATAAATTTAGTCGTCTAGTTTTTTAGCTCTTTTTGCTGACTTTAGTTTTCCTAATTCCAAGGGATGATATACATATACATACTATATATTTTGACCTGTAAAATTTCAAGCTTGGTAGGTCTTTCATAACATAATAAAATAAATGAAAAATGATGCAATAAATATTTCAATAGCTTTTAGATAAAGAGCATAAGATAAAAACAGAACAATTTGAACTCTCTTTTAACTAATTTAAACTTTAAAGACTCAAACCAATCATCAGGGTACCTTTTAAATATAACAGGAATTACCTTTAATCTTACATTAATTTTTAAGCGTTGAATTTTAATAAATAGCTTTTCATGAGCCTGAGTAATTAGATTATGATTTAAAAGGTAAATATCTGACAGATGTTAAAATTTTAGAATCATATTTAAAAGTACAGAGTTTGCAGTTTATCTTGTGATTACTAATAAAATAACTATAAGTTTTAAAAACACTGCAGTTTTTATTTATAGAATGATCTTTACAGAAATAGCCATTAACTTAATTTTTACTTTAGGAAAATCTAAATTTTAAAGGAGTAAAAATGTCAGAAAAAATCAATTTACCACTTACATGTGTACTTGACTGTTTCCTGCTACTTTAATTGTTGTTGCAACTGAATGACCTGTATATATAATATTAAATGAAATTAAATACGCAAAACTTAATAAACAATAAAAAAAATATTTGCTCAGATTTTAGAAATATAATATAACTATGTAATATAACTATATTATTGTTCGAACCATGTTAACTTTTCTACTAAAGAGAAAATAAATGATATAATACAATAATCTATCATATCAGAGGTAAGTAAATTTATTTTCTCTTTAGTGGTTATCATATAGGAGTATGAATAACACTTAAACTTTTAAAAATATTTTTTAGTTTACACTAAAAGCCTACACTAAAACTGAAGATCCATTATATAAATATTTGAACCTCATAATTTTTGATTGTCACTGACTGCACTAAAAGTATAAATATTATAACATTGCTATTCGATCAATATAACATCTATCATAAACAAATAGATGTTAGGTCTTAATATAAACAAACAATAATAATTTTATTTAGTTTAGTTATTAGTAAAAAAGTAGTTACCTGTGGTAGTATATTCCATCCGACGAAATATTCCATCCTTTTGCGCAAAACTCAAAACGAGGATGTGTTTTTAAGTTATAGCCATTAGAATTGTTCCGAAAATAGTTAATAGTATAATGTTTTGATTTGAATATTACATCCACCACATTACCATATCACTTCTTTAATATTAAAAATAAATTGCTACATATATTAATCGTATTTCTGGTAATACTATATATGTGACCTTAAAAATAATTTATTTACTTTTATAAATAGTGTTATGTTTCGTTTCATTTCGGACTCAGAAGGAACATTTCTAACAACTACAACTTAAAAACACATCCTCGTTTTGAGTTTTGCGCAAAAGGATGGAATATTTCGTCGGATGGAATATACTACCACATACCACTTAAAATGCATAATTTTTCTCTAAAACTTTTATAGAAAATTTATGCATTTTAAGTGGTAACTATTTTTCATAATTTTTCTACTTTTAGTAAAAGTAGAAAAATTAGGAAGCTAAGAGCTAACTATAGACGTTCTATAGCGTTGTTAAAAACCAAACAGAAAAAATAATTTGAGAAATATTAAAAAAAAGTGCTGAAACTGATACTTTTTTGTAATTACTGCTAATTTTTTGAAACTGCTATTTTAGTAGCAATAACTAAATAAAAAATTATCAAAATACATTGTTACTGTACTTAAAATTACTTTTAACCGCTTATACAATATTATCGAAAAACTTACAGGACTTTTTAGTTGCTTCATTAACCATATTATAATACTAAAAACAAATTTCTTTTATCTCTTCTAAACTATTTATTATACATAATTTAAGATTCATAAGAAATTCTAATTTTTTATCCATAATGAAAGATTCAAAATGTCTGACACATTATGCGTGAATTAAGTTAGTTCTGTACGGAAATTCAGAATACGTTTAGAATAGATTCAGAATACGTTTAGAATAGAATTCTGTACGGAAATATTCAGAATATGTTTAGAATAGATACCTAAACGTTTAGATGATCTAAACCAATTTTAAACCAACAAATGCCCGTTGGGCAGAATAGCAAAACTTTTATATTTTGCAAGTGGTTGGGGCAAATCGGGACAGTTAAAAAGCAGCAGTTATTTGCTTGCTTAAAAAAAAAAAAAAACTTTTTGACAAAATTCAGTTCGCAGATTTTTAGTTTTGAGGACCTTTTCTTTTTTTAAGCAAGCAGTCGGCAATTTTAAGGATTTGTCCCCCTCCCTTCTTTTTGTAGCTAGCATTATTTCTAATATTATTAAATTTTATTTATTTATTCATTACAATTTGACACAAATTCGACATTAAATTTTGACATTTCAATTTGACACAAATATATGGAGAGTAAATAAAGTAAATTTACAATTGAAGATTTTTTTTTTTTTTTTTTTTTTTTTTTTTCAGCTTACAAAGTTAGTCGTTTTACAATACAATAAACTATTAAAATTACTTTACAAATATATATATATATATATATATATATATATATATATATATATATATATATATATATATATATATATATATATATATATATATATATATATATACAAATCGTGATAACAGTGTAAACTTTTATAAAATTTTGAAATAAAGATAGAAATTAAATAAAAATAAATAACGCGGAAACATAAAAAAGACTTTGAGGTCTTGTCATGAGAACCGCTTACGATACACGCGTCGATAAAAAGTTGACGTAAGCTCATACAAAATTGTTTCTTGTTAATAAAAATAGTATTTGAAGTTTTTATTAAATTAACTTAAAATATAATAATTATCTATTAAACATGACTTTTTTTTTTGGGGTTTTTTATTAGAATTTTCTTCTCAGTATATCACGATTGTCTTGTCAATATTTTTCATGAAAATTTATATTTGCTTCAGGAATTATATAACTATTGTATTCATGAACTGCATTATTGAATAAATTGAATCAATTTTTTTTTTTTAATAAGTGATTTCCATCAAAATAATTTTTATCGTAGTAAAAGGAATATTTCTTTGGCGTTTTTTATTTTCATCATCGTATGATTAATATTCACTTGGCGCTTTTGGAAAGTTCTTCTTTGTCCCTCGAGTACCCACTTTGACAATTATAGCCTTTTTTAGGCAAGTAGGTTAGGTATGAAGGTCATACTAACCACTTACGTGTACGTACATTAGCCAATCCCATATTTTTTGCGAGTTCACAGAAGTTTGGAAGTTGTGGTTTAAACTTTTTTTTCTACTTAAAACATCATGAAAATTGAAAAAGAAAAAAGTTTTTTTTTTTCTTGAGCATCTTATGACGTAATTTGATACTCTTTAATATATAAATAAATTAGCATAAAAAAAAAAATTATTCACGAAACACTGCAAGAAAAAAAAAACATATAAATTTTTTTGAAAACTTAAATTTGGCAACCATTTTTGAATTTGATGATTACTATCTCTGGGATTACTATCACCAGAGTAAAAATATTTTGTATTTTCCTTAATCTGAGCAGTAGGAATTTAGTTTTCAAAAATCTGAGACAACTTTTTGTATTTTGGCCCCAAAACACATAGTGTATAGGTTTTTTTGATCAGGTAATTCAAATCTGGACATATACGGTCTTTAGAAATAGTCATTTAGGGGCAGTCAAGGGAAGTCTTGAAATGTCCTGATGGTTTTTCAATTAGATGAGATATGTTTATGTTTAAATATAATTACGGTCAGGGAATTCAAATCCGAGCATATTTGGTCTTTATGAGTGGCCATGACCACTCAAGTGGTCATTTTAGGAGTGGTCAAGGGTAGTCCTGGAGTATACCGATGAATTTTCAATTAGATTAGACATGTTGTATGTCTTAATACAGGTAATTAAGATCAGCGAACTCAAATCTGGGCATATTTTGTCTCTGGGAGTGGTCATAACCGTATAGATGGTCATTTTAGGAGTGGTCAAGGTAGTTATTTAATTTCTTTGATATTGTGAATTTTAAAAATATAACGTACAATAAAATTAAACTTTGCTTATATAATTTTTTTTTTTATAAATAAAAATTTAGGTCATGACATACATCATTCATTAGGCCGGGTGAATTAGGCCGGGTAAAAAAAAGCAATTGCTTTAACTCGTCGTTTTTGGAGTAATTGTTCAGCTTTACACGAATAAAAAATTTGAGCGAATTCGCCCAAATTTTTATTCAAGTAAAGTTAAGCAATTTACACCAAAAACGCTGAGTAATTGTTCAGCTTTACGTGGAAAAAAATTATGGAAAATTGAGGAAATTTTTGTTCACGTAAAGCTGACCAAATGAAACTGACTGAACAAAAGCAATTGCTTTTTATTTATTTACCCAGTCTAGAATATAAGAGAATTTCATTGTGTGGTACTCTTTGTTATTTTAGTGTAAAACATTTATATTAGGGCGTATAATAGTAAATTACTCGTGAAAAATGACTACATTTCACAAGTAATTTACTATTTTTTGAGGGCTTTTTAAATGAACAAAACATATTTGACCCATTTAAAGAACAATTTTATAAGTAAAAATTTTAGAAAAGTTGTTTAGGCGTATTAGGTGGTGTAGTTTTCTTGCTTTCAATACAACGAAAAATTCTTTTTTCTCTCAACATACTAATTTCTTTTTATTAACTAAACTCTTTTTTTTGAATAAATAAAAACTCTTTGCATATATAAAAACAAGTTTTCTCTTCCATAAGTTATCCTTTTACACATGTTCACATAAGTTAAATACAATACAATAATCCACAAAAATGTACATTAAAATACCGCTTAAACAAAACAAAAATAGTTACTAATAAAAAAAACTATTGAACGAAAATCACATAGTCGTCATAAAAATTACCACAACAACATTAAATATTTACAATAAGTTTTAACAGGATTTAAATGATTATAAATCTAAAACCGTACATAATGTGTTTCCTTCAGTTTTTTTCAAAGCAAAATGTATAATTGGATATTATCTATAATAAAAAGCCTAGCACTTACTGCGCTCAGCTGTGTTCAGAAAGTTTGGTTTTATATATATATATATATATATATATATATATATATATATATATATATATATATATATATATATATATATATATATATATATATATATATATATATATATATATATATATATATATATATATATATATATATATTTTATATAATCACATCATACATGTCTTGTATTTTTCTGCTAGTGATAAAAGACCGCACAATGGAGCAGAAATGCTTAAAAACTGTCTTTTTACGAAAATGCATAAAGGTGTTATAAAATATTTTTTTTGGTGATGAAAAGAAACAGTTTCAAATTTTTTTGTATGAAATTGCTAATGATTATAGATTGTAAAACTTTTTTGTTTTTTTGCACCTATTGAGCCCTTTTGTATGAATTAGTAGTGTAAATGTGTAAACTACATCAGTAGAAACCAGGTAACAAAACCAGGTCGAGCTAATGATTAAACGTTCTTTTTTTTTTGTAAGATTTGGTTTTAATCATAAAACTTATCGAGTTTTATTGTAACGTTTTTAGAGCAACTTTATACCGAAGGCTTTGAAAAAAATTAGGCCTTGACCTTGGCTTTGAAACTGTTGGCCTTGGCCTTGGTCTTGAAAATTTTGGCCTTGGTCTTGATTGTTTTGGCCTTGGTTTTAAAAAAAGATACATATTTTTTATTGATTTTGTTGAATTCTGGACAAAACCTTGGTTCATTTTTACAAAATGTGGTTTCATTTTCACAGCACTTGCTACTTACAGTTTTGTGAAGAATTGGTCTTAAAGCATTGCAAAAATTGAAGTCTTAAGTATTAAAAATCTTTGCGTACGTCTTTGCCGTTAAATTCTAAATCTTAGCCTTGACCTCAAAAGTCTTGTCCTTGGCCTTGTCCTTGGCCTTGTAACTTTTGGCCTTGGCCTTGGCCATGGGCTTGCTACTTTTGGCCTTGTTAACAACTCTGCTTTATACATTAAATTTGAATTACTGTAATTTATTAAAGAGAATCGATTAGAATATGTTTTAATACTTTCTCCGTTCCAAGAGACTGTTCCGATTTGTATTCAACGTAAAGAATTATTAAAAAAAATTATGTTTTTTTTTTTTTCCTACATAAAATTTATTTTTTTGAACATTTTGAACATTTAATACTCCATTAGTATTGAACATTTAACACTCCCTTAGTGTTAAATGTTCAAAAAAAAAAATTGTGTAAAAAATATTAAAATAACAACATAATTTATCTTTCAATAAT